TGTATGAGTGTGAGTGTGTGTGTGTGTGTGTGTGTGTGTGTGTATGAGTGTGTGAGTGTGTGTATGAGTGTGAGAGTGTGTGTGTGTGTGTCGGTCTGTCACATTAATCCACTGATTCCTCATATAGTAATGTTAGTTGTAGGTTTAGGTGTGGGAGTTTAGATTTGAAAATCAGATCATAATCAATAGTCATAATCTGGCAAGGAATTAAAATTCAGCAGCAGTTCTGCTTTTTAAAGTGTCTCTCAAGGACCAGTCAATTTCCATCTGTGTGTAACAGTAGATTATTCACAGTCATCGTGTGTTTTCTGCTGAGGATCTCCGTGTGCAGGTGAATAACGATGCCGTCCAATCAGGAGCTCAGGACTCTACAATATTCTCATTCTGATGATCTCATTGGTCAGTACCAACGCGATGGGCGGAGTTAAAATCTCACACCACAGCTGTGATGCGGCAGGAGGGCGTGTCTGGTGTGTTGTCATGACAATGACCAACTGAGATGTAATTCCATGCAGATTTTGAGACACTGGATCTTCTTGTAATTTGTACCTTTGAGATTTTCTTGCGGGACTTTGCCTCTATGAAGTATAATAATGTTTCCATTTTTTTTTTTTTTGTGATCTAGTGTTGTTTCATATGTCCAGTTTTGTATAAATTAGAGCGCTGTTATTTTTAATCAGCTAATTCATAAAGCCCTGGACAGGTCATCTGGTTAAAGCTGTAAACCGTGTTTTGGAGATTCGAGGAGCTGAAGCTGGAATGAGTCTCAGGAGCTCAGATCAGATCAGATCTCCTTCCCAGAGCCAGCTGGAGTCTAACAGAAACACAATGTTGTGCAGAAGCACATTTACACACTTTTTAGTTCATTTTACCTTTATTTAACCAGGAGAGAACCTCACTGAGACTACAGCTCTTTACAGGTGTGCCCCGGCCCAGATATACAAAATACACATTTAACAAACACGCAGTATAATATTATTGTACACTTACACACACACACAGCTAAATGGGGGCATTACATAGATTTCTATTGCGTTAATATACAGACAGTTATACATTTTATAAACTAATCCTAACCCTCACAGAAAACTTTCTGCATTTTTACAAAAAAAAAAAAAAGTTGACTTTATTTTATACCAGCTTTACAAATGAGGACATCCCCAAAGTGTGGTTTTTGGAGATTTTATCAGGTTTAGCTCACTTTTGGATACAAATTTGTCCCCAAAATATGGTTAAGTACACACACACACACACTTTGTTTGCCCTTCACAAGCGTTTCTCTGTCAGTGTGTTTGGGCTGAAGGAGAGGCTTAGAAAGGGCACTACTAAATGAATGAATGATTTATTTATTATTACTACTACTACATAAAATATAGAATTAGCCTACATAGGCTTTAGCCGTTTCAAGGTTCCGGTAAAAGTCTTCTAAAGCTTCTCGTTTTGAAAGCATTGGAACAGTCTCACCTGCTGGAGGTGGCGCGAGGTTGCCCTCTACTGGCGCCTCCGCAGTCACGTGATCTCTGGCAACCGTTTACCTGGCGCTGCGTGACGTCACCGCGCACCGCGCAGGAAAAGGAACTGGCGCTCGTGATGAGTTCATAACTCTCTGCTAAACACAGTTACAAACCCTACTGCAAACTGTTGTTTAACACTGATCCGGTGATCTTATACGCGTTAGAGCATGTCTGCGTCAGCTGTGTTCGTGCTGGATCTGAAGGGGAAGGTAATTATGACTCTTAATGAGCGACTTCATAGAAGATATTAGATTAAATTCACCTGATTTAATCAAATGCGAAACACCCGCGAGCAGCTGTTTGTAATAATCTGTGAGCACTTCTACAGCTGTGTGCTTCACGACAATAACAACAACAGTCCTTAATGGAGAAACAGTGGTTCATTATTTAATAATGTCATATGGTAGCATTTCTAAAACTTCTTTTGAAAGTGTTTTCTACTGGAACTGCTTTAATCCCGCTGACCACTTTAGAAACAGTGAACAGTGTTTTAGGACATGAGCAGATGTCATTTCCTCTCCAGACAGGAAAGAGTATTATTACACATGACCCCATTAAAAGAGTCTGGTTGTGGCGGTACAGATGATGGAATGATGAAATGAAACCTGTCTGTCATACTTTGACACGAATGTCCTCCCATCAGGTGCTGATATGCCGCAACTACAAAGGCGATGTTGACATGTCAGAGATCGACCACTTCTTCACCCTGCTAATGCAACAGGAAGAGGAGGGGCTTGTCTGCCCAGTGATGTCACACGGCAACGTCCACTTCCTGTGGATCAAACACAGCAATCTGTACTGTATCCTTTACATCACGAACTTCACGATCTGATTGTAAAAGGTTATTCTGAGTAAGCAGTGCAGATTCTGTTGAATGACGATCTTCAAGAGAGCCGTTTAACGGTGTATCGTTCGGTAAACACGTGTTCGTTAAAGGGGTCATGAACTGCCTCTGTTTTTTTGTACTGTTCTCTGAGCTCCACTTATAATGTTATCAAGATGTTTACATCAATAAACATTATAATTTAGAAGTAATAGGCAATTTTCTGTCCTGTTTTGACCCCCTCATCTAGGGCCGCACGATTAATCGAATGCGATGTGCATTTTGCCCTCTGGCCTTCGGATGGAGATTTACTGCTGATCACAGAACCGTGCTTCACTGAAAGATACGCATGACAATCAGCTTCTGTTGAATCGCGATCTCGATTCCATTTCGATTTAT